AATCTCTAATTAATACAATATTAATTAATATATTTTTTTTTTAAAATGATAATAATGATAGCGATATACTCACGGATTCTTGAGAAGTAACGGCAGAGCTTTTGCTTGGATTTTAGATGGAATTGAGAATCCCATTTCATATACACCTTTTAATAAATCCCCATTTCTGTAAAATGATGGAATAATGAAATCATGAGAAACAAATAACATCAATGAGTTGTACTAATTCTTTTTTTCTTCATCCTTCTTTTAATACAACTTACATATTTAATTGTTCAAATGTTGTCACAGACATTAAAGGTTCATCCTCATCAACACGTTTAACTTCAACTTCATGATTTGATTCTTGTAATGTATTGTGTTTAACTATATGTGTGTGTGTGAGTGAGTAAATTTATCAATAGATCAGCAGCACAATAAATAGATCATGAACAATTACAAAAATTTTATTTACAGACCTTCTTTAGTATCTAATTCAGACAATTTTTCTACAACCTCATCAACATCTATAAATTTATACAGGTGCATATACGTTACATTTACATATGTTATGTTAAAACTTTTGATTTAAAATATCCTGCGATTTAACATCTAAAAAAATTTTTCAACCTCCATTACTAGCATTACTGGCATTGTTAACATTATTAATATTACTAGGAATTTCAGTCATTTTGAAATAAATAAATAAATATTTATAAAAGGATCTAAGGAACTAATAAAAGATTTGCGGTTAATACCAATACTTATATTTTGGTATTTGGTATTTACAATATGCATTTGTAAGTTACACCAATTTTACGGATCAAGAAATAGACAATTAAAAAAACATCTCCAACAGACGACAATCTTTGTAATCAGTTAATATGTATATAAAACTTGAAAATCCTGTTGATTTTCCAAGCTCGAAACTCAATCTTTACAAAATGCGCTTGTGCCATACAATAGTAAATTATTAATAAAAAATATTTATCGTTATATATACCGGCTAAAAAGAAACCGATGGCCCCAAAAACATGTTGTCAAAACTGATTTCCACAAATTTATGAGCCCTCGCCAAAAATCATATAGTGAAATTACTACTAGACATGCAACACTAAACGAGGGTACAAGGTTGATTGAGAAAATTACCATTTTTTATTGCCGAAAATTGACCAATTCTATCTTGTGCTTCCTGGGAGTGGGTTGCGCAATCACTTTAATAATCGAACGAGGAAACAATCCAACCGGGCATAATCAAGCAATAATAATGATTATATCGCTGACCAGAGTTCAACTATGGCCACGAGCAATAGTGATAAATTTATTGTTTTTTCTATTAGCAACTCAAATAAGAATTATTTTTTTATTGACTGTTTTTAGCTATTCTCGTTAAGATTCTATAGCAGGATTAAGCAGAATTGCAATAAAATAGGCAAAACTTGAAATGAGCATATTATTGGTATGCCATCGCAGATTTTGCTTTTTTTCACCGCAGAAATTCATCGTCCCTGCTTTGAACACCCTAATATATAATGTGCGCCATCTAAAAAGACATCAAATGCTGCGTCACACTGCCAAATATTCAATCCCAAAATAGCAATGATACTCTTTGGTGTCACGAGATCATAAAATCATATGACTCAATCATTTATCGCATTTAAACTTTATTATTATTATTATTATTATTATTCAAATAAATTTTTACTCGAATAACAGTCAAACGATATGTCACAGGAAATGTAATTACATATATAAAATATAAAACCTGATTCGTGTAACCAATCGGTTTTTTAAAATATCTCATTATTTTTATAACAAACTCAAACATCATTATCAATCAAAAATAAAATATAACATTATAGCTTTCTAACGAGCCCTTTCGCATATTGATAGAGGCTCTCTATGTCAAGCTATATTTATTTAAAAACAGCATTACTTATTACTTCAAAGCCAAGATTTTTTACCAATATTACCTTTATAAACTTGGTGAGTAGTATGGCTTTATGTAGATTGTTGTTTATTAAAGTTTGGTGAAAATGGCAAAAAAACTCAAAAAACATAATAAATTTTGATAAATTTACACAAAAAGGAAAAAATGTGGGATAATTAATTTCCAAATACGGTAATTTGGTTGATAAACTTTAACATCAACTGAAAAATCTGTCTCAAATTTGGTGGAGATTGCTGAGCAAAAAATTAAGGTTTGTGGCTAATTTTTATTTTAGTTTTAGCACAAAAAAGAAATTAGTTGGCATTGGTACTACGCTTCGTTGTCCTTTTTTGTTTAAAGAGTTTTAGAAGCGATAATCATTCTCTGATTTGATTCTTTTTTTTAGAAAAAAACCTCTTTTTGGAAAATCTGAGGTTCTACAATTTTCAACACATTTTTTTAATAGTTATAAGCAATTTCTTCTTTCTCTCTGCAGAGCTCAGCAAGATAGTGACGGCTAGCGAAAAATCACTGTTTTTCAAACTTAATTTTTTGGGAAGGAATTTTTTGTTTTTGTTGGGTAATAAATTTCAAAAAAATTTTTTTTATTTTTCTGAAATTGATATCGATACATTTGATGATCTATGTTGAAATTGAAATTTGAATGCCTTGTCCACGTGATAATAGTTTTTTACCATTTATCATGCAAAATAATAAAATCTTTTTTTCCAAGTGAACAGAAAGAGATTTGGTTTTAGTTAATGTGATAAAGATCACTATTAACTAATATGTTTTTAATTAACAAGTTTACAACTGAAAACGCAACGTGGAGCTTTTTTCTTTTTTATTATTATTATTGTGCATGCTGCGCCACGCAAGAACCAAAATCTATTAAAGTTAAGTTTGATTTGGATTGCACCTTCTTTATCATAAAGAGTAAAAAAATCATATCACTTAAGTCAAAACAATAGTCAATTTCATCAAATTCGAAACATATAAATGGGATGGCGTCCTCATATTTTTTCGTAACACCAACATAGAATTTAACGTTATTTTTATTTTTTTATTTTTATTTTAATTAATGATTAGATTTGTTACGCAAATAATTATTTACATATACGGAAGTAAATTATTCATGAATTATTCATGAATTTTAATAAAAAAAGTCCAATTCATTTGAGAATTAAAATGTGTTTTTATTGCTTCGCTAAAAAATTTGAATTAACAACCTGAACCAATCAATTGCTTACTAAATTAAAGTTTTAACTTTATCACACCAAAAAAATTAAACACAATTTCATGTGAGCATTATCTAACTTGGATATGACTTATTACACTCAAAATAATCATACGTGCTATGGTACAACCAAATGAACTAACTCTTTCTAAATAAACATATCGTAATAAAAAATATAGATGTTACATTTATGTTTATTACTTAATTCATTTCAACCAATCAGATTTTGACTTTTTCATAAATAAAGAAGTCTGATTGGTCCTTAAAAACTTAATAAATTAAAATAATATGAGAAAAAACACTACAAATTACCTTTTAACAAATTACCTTTAATGTAAAGAAAGAAATTTAATTTTGATAATTTTTAATTAACATTTAATTTAATCAATAATCGAATTGATTGTTATACACTAAATATTACTTTGATATCAACAGAAGCCCTGCATCAAGACAACAATTTCCTCTGCAAAATGCCTTCGCTCTTACTGTGCACAAAACCCAGGGATTAACATTACCTCATTCAACTGTCAGCATCGATGAAAATATGTTTGCACCTGTCAAGTATATGTAGCCATGAGCAGAGTGCCTTCTTGGGATTCACTTGGAATCTTAGATTTTGACTTTTCTAATATAAAAACTGATCAATCTGTAATTCAGGAGTATGTAAGATTGAAAAACGTAAACCAAAGAGGTCTTGGCCAATTAATTAATTAATATATATATTAAATATGAGAATCTCAGGTTTTTTTTTTGTATTACACAAATATTATTAATAAAGTTCAAAAAAGCTCACTGCGCATCCTCTGCTAAAATCTTGTTAAATAATAATAAAATAAGATTTTCACTGATCACCAAATAATTTTTCCATAATAACCATTATTTTTATTTTACATAAACACTTGCATCAATTATTGATTTTTTTTATGTCAAAATTGTTATTTGCCATTTATTTTTATTCGTTTATTAGTATCATACTAGTTTCAAAAATAATTTTGGGCTTCTAAAGGCAATTATAACATGATGTTGACCTGGGTCAAACCCAGGTCAATTAAATCATGACCCAACCTGACCCATTCGGGTCAACCCGACTCATTTCGGAGCTCTATAAAAAATTATATATGCTATCAGCATATGCAATATAAAAATACAAACTCACTTGCCAAATATACTATTCAATATTAAACCATATAATTTGGGTTGTGTATTTTTAGATTAATTCCATTTTTTTGATTTTAAGTTGTTGTTAATTTTTTGTTTATTGGAACTAGAGTTGTCTGCTTTGTTAAACAAACTTAAAGATTTTCTCTTATTTAATGACATTTTAAAAATAATGAAATGAAATAAATCAAGAAATTCAATTATACATTTTATTTGTTTCCTATATACTTTTAGTACAATACATCATGTCTTATATTGTTATTTATTTAAGATTTAAATAACCATAAATTGTTATTTTAAATACAGTCAACCCTCCATAAGTGCACCCCCCTTGGGAATGGATAGGGTTGTTAATGGAACATAATGGGTTGGGTTGGGTTCATATTATAGTGGAGCAAGGGTTAACCTAACCCAACCCGGATTCTCTCTATAACAGACAAATTCCCTGGTCCCACTGATCCGTTATAGACAATGTGGACTGTACTGATATAGAAGATGTGGAAATTGAAGATGATTTATTACAATATATAAACACTTTTCCAAAGGTAATTTATAGGTTTATTGTCATTTTATAAGTTTTACATTTTATAACACAAATTAATTTCCTCCAGACTTTGACAAGTAACATAAGAGATATTTTAAATCAAGCACATCCCAAACTTGGCAAAACTTACAATTCACATGTGGTTTTTCAATATGAGCATGTCTGTACAACAATTTCAGATTGGTAAGCATTGTTTACTCTTGTGGATCTTGTTGTTGTTAATTCATAACTCATATATTTATATCAATGATTAATATTATATGCAGGCTTAGGTTGTTGGGGTCAGAGCCAAATCCACTCACATTAAAAAATTTACCAGAATCATGGTATCAAATACATGTCTGGAGCAGGGTTGGAAAATGTGTGGTCCATTGGGTCCATTAGTGTAACAGTTTAACCATATTTAGTATTTTATTAATGGCAATGGACCAGTCAATTTGCCAACCCTGGTCTGGAGAACTATAGATATTGCCTTTTCAGATACACCATTTGTGCTTTTTGTTGGATAGATAAAAAGTGACTATTTATAATAATTCTTTTCCATCTTGTTTTAAACTTTACCCTTTTTCTGAACCAATTAATTCTTTAGAGGCAAAAAGACCTGTATTTCCAGTACAGAATGCAAGAAGAGATATCATACTCTTGGTAATAAAGTACTAATGCAAAAAAAATCCATAGGCAAAAAAAGGAGATGAATATGTCAGAATAGTGGGTTCAAAAATTGCTGATTGGTCTGCTTCTGAAGCTGGTGCATCATGGGAAGGTGAACATGACACCAAAATCATGAAAGAATCTGGTCTAACTTTACCCAAAACTCTTAAAGATATTACATTGAATTATGCAAAAAGGGAATTTTGAGGAAGAGAAAATTCATAAAATAAAAATTCCTGGATTTTGTCATGCAGGTTGATATGCTAGCTGTATTTTTTATAATGAGACTTAAATGGATACCAATAATTTTGATATGTATTTAAATACAAAATTATTACAGTCAACCCCCCTAAGTGCACCCCCTTGGGAATGAGTGGGAGCGTGCATTTAGGGAATTAAAGCATTGTATTGGCTGCACATATTGGTGACTCATGTGACACTAATTAAAATTTTTAAAAAAAAATTCAAGACATGAATCTATCTATTGTAATTTGTTCCATTGTATTTATTTTTTTTTAATTAAATATATTTTTCAAGAGAATTAACTGATTTTGCTTGCTCATTGTATGGACAATTTCCAAACTTGTTAACTATGGTAGAAATAGGTTGATAAGAATGTTAGTTAAAATGGTTTTTGAAAAAATCAATTTTGGTAAGCAATTTTGGATTTACAATATTCTTTGTATCAATAGACATAAAAAATCTACACAGCCTTTTAATATTTAATTAAAGAGTCCAAATAATTTCAGATACAATTTTGGCAACTAATAAAATTAACTTCACATTTATGAAAAACTATTTCACCATTATTAAGAGAGCCAACTTCAGCTAACATGCTTACACTTGACTCAATTGGGTGACTTTTTGATGCAATTAATTGTGTCATATGAAAAACATATAAGTAATTGAGTCAAGACACAATTAAAAATTGAGATTTTGGGAATTAAGTCAAAGTCAAATTAATTTTGACAAATGTAATAGTAAAAATTTTCTAAGGTTACACGATTAACAATGCACAAAATCACGTGAAGGTCACGAGCGTGCATTTAGGGAGGGTGGTTTTATATAGTTGGGAATGAAAAAAGACCGTGTAGTGCAGGTGCACTTATCTCTTAAGTCCCGAGCTTGGGAATGAGTGAAAGCGTGCATTTAGGGAGGGTGTGCATTTATGGGGTACATTTATGCTGTTTTTCTTTATAAAAGAAAAGGATAACAAGCTTAATAAGAAAATAGGATTTAATTTTGAACTCTGTAATACTGTGTGACATAATGTTCGCTTTGTCTGGTTTTGTTGCAGCATGCCCCAATTATTCTGTTGCATGGAAAATAGATTTTCCACCCACATTATATTGGTAGTACAACGATGATGAGTAAATTTTGAACCTATGTGACATAATGTTCATTTGTATTGCAAACAATTTTTGGTCTATTTATTTTAAAATGAAAATTGAACAAAATATCAATATCTTTCTTTTAACATGGGCCGTTGTTTCATTCACATTTTTCAATATAATTTTAGCACAAGAAACACAAGGAACGATTAAAAAGGCATTTGATTTGAGTGATATTAAACTAGCTGTTAGTACTTCGGAAGCTGTTAGAAAACTAACCGAAAGGTAGATTGATTTGATACACAACTCAGAATTTAATTGTAAAATAATAAATGTTATTTAAAAATAAAATTATAACATCTATTATTTTTTTCTTACCAAAAGTTTAACATACCCTAATTCACTTTCCACGCTTATTCAATTAAATCAAGGAGATGATATAAAAATGATATTTACTATAAGAGATGAAAAGACACAAAAAGGAATCCAACCTCACCAAGCCTTTTTAGTTTTATCTTCTGAAAATAACAATAAGATTCAATTGCCTTTTATTGTACAAGTTCGTGAATCAGGGAAAGCTAGTGTTAAATTGGTTGGTTGACTTTATTATTATTATCATCATAAAAATGGTATATTTAAAGATTTTTGACAAGTATATTTGAATTGAAATTTTCAAGTCAATACCAGAAGAATTGTTTTCGTCACCAAGAAAGTATCATCTTGATCTTATAATTGGAACTTTTTTTCACAACAAACCAATTAAATATCATATTGGAACTGTCAATCTTGATTTAACAACTTCATCATCAGAGTAAAAAGTATATATTGTTGTTTTAAAAACGATAATAGTTATAATTCTGTTAGAATCAAAAAAAAAAAATTTTAAATAAAACTAAACCAAAATTTGGCTTGTGGATTTTGTTTTAAATTACAAGTAAAAAAACTTTTCAATAAACCATTTGGTGCATGATGTTGATCTCACATATAAAAATAAAAAAAATTTTGATTTTTTTTTTTCCAACAATTTCAACAATGCCGGATGTTCTTTTTTCGAACAGTGAAATAGTATATGGACCACGTCCAGAAATAATTCATATTTTTAAATCTTCACAAAAGTTGCCACCATTATGGTTGTCTTATATTTTTTCAGTAATATTACTGATACCTTGGATGTTTTTGATTGGTGCAGTATGTATTATTTACTTATCCGTATATGATCAATATTATTGTTTTATTCTAGTTTATTTATTAACAAACTTTTTTGATATGAAGTGGCTACGTCTTGGTGTTAATATTTTTTTCTTTAAAAACCAACTCATTGCTTCTCTTGCAATACTAGTATTTTTAAGTTCATTATTAGCCATTGAAATATTATTCTATAACTATTGGGTATACTTGAATATTTTTCAAACATTATTTTGGCTAGCAATACTTAGCATTATATCTTTTATCACTGGTCAAAAGGCTTTGGGGTATGTCCAAGATTGGCGGCAAAAAGGTCTTCGTTAATAAATTTCATTTATACTAAACAATCTATTTATGAGCAAGTTTATATATATATATATATATGTATTTATTCTATCAAATAAATAATTGCATTCTATTAATAGTTTAATGAATTTTTATGACTTTATTATTCACACTTTTTTATTATTGCTGTAACATAATAAAGCAAATGCCAATAATATAAAACACCCTCCAAATATTGTGTTAATGCCTAGTGGGTTTCTAACGATTAGAACATCTACCAATGCTACTATTGGGATCGTCAACATTAATCCAATAGCAACAAAAAGTGGTGATGTAAAAGCTATGATCAACATAAATGAGGCATTCACACAAACTCCTGATATAGCAGTAAGGATAATAAAACCAAATGTTTCCATATCTGGAATTTCAAATATCTCAATACCAGTAAAATGTAAAATCGGAATCGGAATCCATAGGAATAAAAAAGTGAAAACGCCAATAAGAGCAGTGATTGTATTGGAGAATAAACATGACGGGGTTGATGGACTTGCATATTTTTTATATATGACTTCATTTAGTCCATAAGCAAGAGCACCAACCAATGCTATAAAATCTCCCATATTAATCAGACTACGATCTTCATCATTATTATCAAACTTTGAATTTTTATCTGCTGACGGGTTATCATCTTGACTTATATCCCAAAATGTCATAATAGCAACACCCATAATACTTAGGAAAACCGCCAATATCTTTTCTTTTTGCAACGAATCTCCTAATAATAATATTGAGAATACGTAAGCCCAAAAACAACTTGTATTAAAAATTGCAGTTAATTTAGCTGTTGTAGTAAATGCCACGGCAATGTACCAAATATATCCTGGAATACACATACAAATTGCAAACAGTGCAGAGAATTTTAGCACATATTTGATTACATTTTGGTGTTTTTGTGAATTTAAAATATGAAATACATTTGTCGTATTGTTGTCATCGTCGTCGTCGTTACTGCTGCTGCTGCTGCCATCATCATTATCATGATTTATAAGAATTGTATGAGCTGATATGCTCATCTTGTCGACTAATTCATTTCCAACATTAAGAAATTCATTAACATATTCATGAATGTTCATATGAAACATGAATTGAAACGGGAAAACTAAAATATAAAAGCTATGTCCTATCCATCTAAATAAAACAATAAATTAATCGACAATTTAACATATGTTTAAAAATTTAAAAATATAATGGTTTCTTAGACTTACAAAATAAAATATGGCTTGTGATAATTCATTCTTGTTTGAATAAATTGCGCTAATTCCTATTTTAATAAAAGGGATTTTTTTAGTTGAAACTATTTAAAAAATCAGAAGATTCCTTCATTACATACCGTTTGTAAAACATAAGAGGCAATACATATACAAAGTATACCGAAACCTATAATATTATAAGACGCTTTATGTGCATAATATGAGTTTACGTGCGAATTTGATTGCAAGAGAGTAGTTTCCATATTAATATTTTAAAGTATATTAATTGACGATCCGCGAATAAATCAGTGAAAAAGTTGTGCAAGAGCTCTTATCTTTTAAACGGTCAAAGTATTCTTTAATGGTAACACAAAATAATTTTTTGATCACGATCTTGGCATCTTTGTTGGCCAATTTAACGATCTGCAAAGTAAAAATAGTCAATCGACCAACTTTTAAGGAAGATTTTACGAAAACCACAGGGACAACAACCGAACTTTTATTCACATTTCAATCAGCTGAATCTCAAATATCATTTCGTATTAGGAAGTGATACCTTCAGAAAAGTTTTTTATAACAGAAAAAAATTTTCGGCTATCAATAGCCGAAAAACCGTTTAATATTAAGGGACAATCATATTTTACTACACTACTATATTAATTGTTAGATAAATTACTACTTTATTCATATATAAAAGAATATCATTCTGCGGTGCAAAAATAATACAACTTTCGTGCAAAGATTGACGATTAGCAATTTAATTAGTGATTACAAATCTGTTTCTTACAATTTCCTATATATGAGAGCTTTTTTCATCACACTTGAAATATGTTTTTAGATAAAATTTTTTTGAGATTAACTAATTTATATATAAAAGTACATCACCCTGTGGCACAAAAAGAATAATACAACTTTTCATGCAAAGTTAACAATTAGCAATTTAATTATCCAAACCTGCGTTTCCTACATAGAAAAAGTTTTCGAGATTTACTTTCATATATAACCCTGTGGCACAAAAAGTATAATGCAACTTTTTGTGTAAAGGTTGACAATTAGCAATTTTTATCACATTTTTGCACCACCGATCATTATAAGAATCTTCTGATTCATTCGCGGATCAGCATAATGGAAATTCTATTTTGATCAACATTTGCAATTATCACGTTTACATTTTAGTAGAAGATCTTCGTGTTAAGAAAGTCCTGGAAGTATTAACATTATATGCTTTGTATGTAACTTGTATCTTTTACAACTTCTCCCGCTTATGACTCATACAAACCTTTTTCTACTTCTCTTCCCACTTCTGTCACTATCTCGCCCAATGTTCCACCTGATACATATTTCTATAGTTGGAAGTTGTATTAATGTCGAATCTGTCAGTAAAAAAAAAAAAATTTTAGTTTTCATATGATTCAAAAATTTTTCATAGTGTCACCCTAATATCACTAATAGGTGTGTATTTTTTCCTACACCTTTCTATATATTCTTTAGTGAAAGAACAAGGTATATATATATAATAAAAAAAAATAGTGAATAAAACAAACTTTATGTAATTTTTTCTTCTCATATTACGCACTTTCATTTAAAAATTTCAGGTATGTTTGGATGCGAATCAATCTAAAGGTTGCATATGAAGCTAAAATTTGGATAATTTTTAGTCAAATAAACGGAATTCAATATAAAATATTATCTATTGATCTTAAAGTTGAAACAAATGAAAATGAATTGAAAAGAAGGATCGAATTAGTAAATGAATGGAAACCATTATTATTTATAGAACAATTTTTATATTCATATTTCATATGTATAAATTTTTATCTACCTTAACCACAATTGTTTTTTTAAAAAAATTTGTTTAATGAATGGTGTTACCTATAACATTATCACAGTGATCATCAAATTGTGATATGAATAGAATTTCCACTATGCTTCGCGGATCAGCAATTAAATATAAATTATTATTATGTAATAGGATTTTTGTAAATAAGGAATAGTAAACAAATAAATGTCGATCCTTTTCTTTCCCACAATAATAACAATAATAATTGAAAACATATATATAAACTAGATTTTTTAATAATTTCAAAAGATATTTAAAAAAAAAAAAAAAAAAAAACCAATTATCATTTAATCATTTTAAACAAAAACAACAAAAACAAAATGTTTATAAAGTTATATGACATAATTGTAGCTTTCTTTAGTGTAATTTTGGACATTTTTTTTCGTGAAGTTAAATCAAGAGGATCACATAAAATACCTAAAGAAGGTCCTGTAATTTTTGTTGCTGCTCCTCACGCAAATCAAGTAAATATTTAATTTAACAAATAATAATTGTTCTTTTTATTCAACTAATGAATGATAATGATAGCAGTAATGATGATATGCAAATATTCTTGAAATGTTAGTTTGTTGATCCGTTGGTTTTAATGCGACATTGTCAAAGACAAGTTTCATTTTTGATTGCTGAAAAATCAATGAAACGTAGATATATTGGTTCAATTGCCAAAGCAATTAACGCAAGTAAATACATATTTATATTTACACTATCTATTTTCTTAGAGTTATGGCTTATAATCAATTGTTAAAGTATCATGGATTGAAAGATCATCAAGTAAATAAAACAGTCGAAGATGGCTGTCGTGTATTATTTTTATTAATCTATAGAATAATTGTATTAACTATTTGGATTATATTGGGATTGCCTGGGTAAAAAAAAGTTTATTATTGTTTATATATTTTATAATAACAAGAAAATTAAACTATTAAAATTTTTTATTATATATAGATTTATTCTTAATCTTCCGCTTATAATAATTGCTCGTGTAATAAGTGCAAAGAAAGCTAAAGGTAATACATTAATAATAATCTTAATATATTCTATTATCATATTTTAATAATCTATTTATAATAAATAGAGGCAGTAGAATCTTCTAGTGTAAAAGTTGCCGGACGTGATGTCCTTGCTACTTGGAAATTGTTGGTTGCACTTGTTGTCACCCCGTTATTATATGGATCATATGCGTTAATAATACTTTTTATGGCATATAAATATGAATGGAAAATATTAAACTTTGGAATATTTACACCATTTGTAATATTGACGATGATTTTTATTGATAGCTATGCAACAATGAGATTGGCCGACACTGGACATGATATTTATAGGTATTTGTTATTATATTATATTATTATTAAATGGTTTTAAATAAACAAATAAATAAATATATATATATACATACATTTGTTTAGATCACTTCGACCACTTTTCTTATCGTTAATTCCTTCAACAAAATCATATTTTCAAACATTGAGAGAAGTCCGTGAACAATTATCATATGATCTTACAGAATTAATAAATGAACTTGGACCAAAAATTTATCCAGACTTTGATAATTCACGTTTAGTTAGAGAAGTTAAGGGGAAAAGCAGAAGTGGATCAGCTTCACCTTCACCATCTAGACCATCATCTACAGGGTTACAATTTAGTAGTTTCTTGACTATTTCAGATTGGTTATCTGAAAAAAATTTGGATTGGGAGAGAGCTGATGATTCAGACTATGATGATGTATTTTTCTTTTTAGATCAACAGAATGGAAAAATAACGGGACGTAGTAGATCAAATTCACGGACACGGATAAAAGATCAGGGCTCAAGAAGTAGGTCAAGCTCAATTGGATCAAATAATGATGGGGGTTTGGGAAGTAACGGGAACACTATTGGGATTGAGCCTTTATCAACTGTTGATCAATCACCAGAAATTGAAAGAAACCGTTCAGATCTTTCTTTACCTAAATTTACATTTAAAGATTGTGACGAAGATTCTGGCTATCATGGCGATAAAGAATATGATGACAAGATTGAAACTAAAAAAGAAGTTTAACCTAATATTTTTTTGTGAACATTTTTTAAGTTTTTATTTTATTTTAAATATTTGCTGTATGTAAATAAAAAATTAATTTATTGTCAATATTTGCTATTTTAATAAAAAATTATAGATATTTTGCATATTTATATCTTTTATTCATTGTATAACAGAAAGAAAGTTTTTAAAACATTTAGCTCTAGGCGGTGGTTCTATTCTTGCTAAATTTCTGAAAATTCATCGTATAATCATACGATATAATCAACTCTGTATAAATTTACAATAAATAAATAAATAAATTATTATTATTATTATTATTATTATTATTATTATTATTATTATTATTATTATTACTATATTATTATTATTAATTATTATCATTATTATCGAGTAAAATCTAATAAATAAATATATAAAAAAAAAAATAAATTAATATATAATCTGATTTTCTAAATTTTTCATCCTATATATTTCTTTATTCCACACTCTCATATTCTACTTCTCTAGTTAATTAATAATTATTTTTTACTAATAACATCCTCACCAATATCGTAACTTCCTTTATGAGTTGCTAATAGAAATATACCTGCCTCTTGTATAAGATCATCATTATTACTATTATTCTCATTGGTATCATGGATTCCTAAAGGTTCTAAATCACAATTTATACAATTTGCACAAAATAGATATTTTATACCAGTTTCTTCCACAGTTTTAGAAAATATAATATTTTCAAATTCAAGCATATTGTTTATTTGCCAATAACCCTGAAGTGGCGAATCTGAATCTGATGATAGTTCATTATCATTATGATCATTGGTTGATTTATCTGATGCCAAAGATTTTAAATTACTTGGTAATTCTAACTACATTAACAACAATAATATTAATTGTTATTAATGATAATTTATAATTAATGATGTAATATAATGATGACGTCACATACCAATTCTTTAGGAAGGTCAACCCAAGTTGCTATATTTGCTCTCAAAAGAAGACATTTACAATTAGTTTTGGGACAACAAATATCATATGCGTTTTTATTATCGGGAGTTAATAGTTGTTTTTTTGGATCATGGAATACTTTGTAGGGAACGACATTTTGCGATGTGCTGCTATAGGTGCCGTTGTTGGTATTAAATATATTTTTTATAGACATTTATTATTGTTATTATATAAAATTGTATAAATTACAAAAATTGTATAAATTATATGATATTTATTAATATTGAAATTTAAAAATTACAGCTTTGTTGCTCCGTTAAAGTTTTGTGTTCAATTATCGTGATCCACCGATTTGCGCACCCATTTTGGGGTACAAAAATATGGAAAAACAAAAATATGGGGATCATATAGAAAATTTCCTAATCGGGAATAAAATTTTAAAATTATTATGGTTGGCTCCGTCTAAAGACCTCCTATTGCTGCGCCATGCGGCCAAATTTCAAAATAGCAATTTTGTAATTCGCTCAAAAATGTAATAAAATTTTTCAAAAAATAGGACTTCACGTGATTTTAGTTTTCTTACTGCCAAATTTAGATACGA